CACACACACACACACACACACACACACACACACACACACACACACACACACACACACACACACACACTCTCTCTCTCTCTCTCTCTCGCTCTCTCTCCCAGGCTTTCAAAAGAGGTATCCAGCATTGCCAGAAGCTCAGCCAAAGGTGGGCTCTGAACTTCCATGGATCTCAATGAAAGTTAGGAGACTGCCTTTGAGGATCTGGGCCTTAGCTCCCAGTCTACCAAATTCATTTGAAAATCTGGCCGTATTTTGCGGCCTAAATTGGAATGGGCCTGTTTTGAAAATCAGCAATTAGTTCTGAGCTCTTAGGAAAATTCTGGCCTTAATACATTAATTCCAGGACAAACCTTATGCACAAAACAGCCATTTGTGTTTGGGGAGGGAGTGGGGGTGATGGGGTCTGGGTAGTTTCTTGAATTCTTTTGTGCTCAGAAACTTTGCAACATTCCGGTGACATTTCCTAAGTGATTTAAAAAAAAAATCCTCCGTAAAGATGAGGATCATCAAATCGAAGTAATTTAGCAAAATGTGACAAGAAAGATTAGCCTAGCCTTGGTTGAAAATGATTTAAATAAAGCTATAAATCTTCTGGAACACGTTGTATCAGTTGGAAATTGCCATCTAGATTTTGGCGTGTTTTAAAAAAAAAAATCTACCTTTAAACTGGTGATACTGTGTGTGCGACCCAGTGGAGAACTTAATTTCCATGGAGGCAGAGAGGAGAAATCTGCGGTTGGGAGAAATGAGTGCCTTCTCCGGAGCAGTCTGGCAGAACTGTCGGGCTGAGAGGTGTGGTTGGCCAGTGTCAACTGCTCCTGGTGGCTTCTGTTCCCCTCTCACAAACACATGGGAATTCAGCAGATCAGAATTAACTTAGCCACCTCGCTCTCAATAATGTTACGTGGGACGGGATGCCAGAGGAAAGCAGCAATTCCCTTCCCCCACCACCCCAGGACAGAATGGGAAGGAAATTGCAAGTGCAAACACCAACATTTCCCACCTCCAGCTGGGAATAGGCTGTGTAGGGTATGACCATATAAACCATGGTGTGCTAATAGTTAAGGACCCAGGGCCATTAACATTCAAGCCCACACTGTGCATTTCCCTGGAAGGTCCAGACTTTTTGACTCTTGTGCTTATACACCACACATGAGCCAGGCGTCGCGTCTCTTGCTACTAGCGCAGTGTTTTGGCCCATCCTGGCATGGCTTCGAAAGGGAGGGTGAATGAGGGCGCACGTTTCTGGAGTCAGCAGCTGCCCTGCTCCTTGTGGAGGCAGGAGAAGGCCACCCAGGCCTGCCAAAAGCCAGCGAGAAATGTGGCATTGGCAAGGCCTAGGCTGTGAGTGTAAAACCTCCCAGCTTTTAATCAAAAGGAGAGGTGGGCAGACAGATCAGCTGGCTCTGTTGACAGCAAGAGATTGCTTTGCTGAATGTCTCTTGTTCGTGCCAAGTCAATGGACATGCAAAGTGCCAGGCCAAGACGCTGCTCTGTAAAGTTACAATGATGATGCAGATTCTCCTTTATCTGCAACTGATTCCTACTGGCTATTAGCACTTTTCCAGAACTTAGCACAAAATGCCAGGGTGCCTTGAATCCCGGGTGCAGACTGGGCCTGGGTGGGTGCCACAGACAGGTAGGGAAGAGAGGACTCCTCCGCACCAGGTTGTCAAAGAGCAGTTGCAGCATCCTCTGTGATGCCAACGCTGCCATCCTTTTGCTGTGGAATGGCCAGTGGACCTGTATAGTGCCAGGTCCCTGGCCCTGCTGCCAACTTTCCCTGAGGCCAAGTGGCAGATATGGCAATTTCCTACAATGTGACTGTATTACATTTCCGTATCGTTGTGGGCCGGGGACTGTATATAATTCCATGGAGGGCAGGTGACCACAGCTCCTGCAGGAACGAAGAGTGTGTGTGTGTGTGTGTGTGTGTGTGTGTCTCCCCATTGGACAAGTTCACACAGGTTGTATCCAGGAGCGGCGCCAGGGTTTTTGGCGCCCTACGCGGGATCCTTCCGCACTCCCGGTCTTTGGGGCACTTCGGCGGCAGGTCCTGGAGCGAATGAAGGACCCGCCGCAGAATTGCCGCTGAAGACCCGGAGCGCGGAAGGACCCCCCCGCCACCGAATTGCCACCCCCCCATATCCTGGCGTCCTAGGCAACCGCTTAGGTCACCTAAATGGAAGCGCCGGCCCTGGTTGTATCACCTCCAGAGAGAGATACCTCCTCCTGGGGAGGCTCACCTGTCCTAGTTCAAACCGGATTCTCCAGAGGCCAACAGTCTTGTGGATAAATAGGCAGCATTTAAACAGACACAGGTCCTGCTTTCTGATCCAGCAAATGGACCTTTTGTCCAAGGGCTGGGGAACCCCAAATCCTTAAGGAAGGGTTGGAAGCGCTGATACCTGCCGGGGCTCGGAGGGGGGGAGCCGATCGCTCATCAGTTTTCTAGCATGTGTGTAGGTTCTTTTGTTTGTTCTAATATGATTTCTCTGTAATGCTTTCACCTTAAGAATAAAATCTGCTTGCTTACAAAAGGCGACGTGGTAACTTACAACGGTGGGCACGTATGCTGTCCATAAGCCTGCGAAGAGAACGCTAAGTGCAAATGCTGGCCCGGTTTGCTAGTGTTGCTTGCTGGGAATAGTGCAGTGTAGACAAGGAACTGTGCAGCTTGGAAAAGTCTAGCTCAGGAGGGAGAGACAGAGACACTCAGGTCTCTGCCCAAGAGAGGTGATGGTGGGGGAGCCGGGACCCTAGAGTGGGCGCCTTTGCTGGACCATGGGGAATACAGGTGAAGTTGCCCTGAACTGTGACACCTAGGCTGCAACTTTATAATCTGCTTTGCATAAGGGACAGTGCATGGAGTGAGTGAATTGTGTTTCAGGCAGTCCCACTTCCTCCCCCATGCTTTCCCCTTGCTCTGGTGGAGGAGTGCACATAGCCAGCAAGAAAGAGGGGGAGGCCAGGGTGGGCCCCACTCCCTCCACCCCCATCACAGCAGGTCATATTGCTGCTGGAGTCACAATCCATGCAGGGGATTGAGGGACATTCTCTCCTGCATGTCCAAATAAGGGCTGGAACAATCTAACCGTGAATGAACATGATGTTGTCAAGGTCTGTCTTGGCCCAGTGCCCTGGGTGTGGGAGGGGTTGAAGGTCCTGTCTCTGCCATGCCCTAGCCTGTTGTTGTTCCTTCCGTTGGTTGGTCCTTTGCTGTAACCTTGAACTTCTGGGCCTTTGTGCCTAGGATTTGGGCTTGGTTCCTTTGATGGTGTTTCACTGTGAAACGTCATTCCATAGCAGCAGGAGTGAAGTTCTGGATACTGCCGTTGTCGCTTTGCATCTCTATGGCAAGCCGGCTGTTTGTGTTTACTGGCCCTGCCTGCAACTTCAACACCTACATCTTTTGGGCCCCCAATCCAGCTCTCTACCTGTACTGATCATGCCATTTCCCAAAGCGAGGAGCCTTCACACAGAGAGGTGTGCTAATCTCCAAAAGATTAAAATGGCACCAGCCAACGGAAAATACAAGAACTGTTGGAAAAAAGCAACACAGATTTTTGTGAGGTCAAACCCTGCCCATTCTAATCACAGCTCCCGTTTCCAGCCGCGTCACCAACACTGGTCTTGTTCTATGAACTGTCAGCTCTTTAAATTGCTTTCCCTGTTTGTTTTGCATCGCTGCATCCAGCTGGCTAGCCTGACGTGGTGGACTAGACACAGCAAAGCTCCCACAATTGACCTGGTGAGCTACAAGAGCGAGTCGGCGGAGGTAAATCCTTCAGTGGGCGAGAGTGATGGGGATGAGCCGACCTGGGAGAACACGGATTCAGGGAGCAAAGAACATGGAGGTAGGTTAGCTGGGTCTTCCAAATATGTGCATGTGTGGGCGTAGGGGACCTGGTCCACCAGCATCCTTCCAATGACTTCAATGGCATCCGGCCCATGGATCTAACGATACCACGTTTGTGGAGGTGACAGCTACATGCTAAATTAATTTATCTTTGACCACCACACCTGCACTCTGCCTGCTACCCCGTCCCCCCTCGGGTTTAGTCTAACATTCCAACCCTCTGTATAGTTCCAGAGAGCGTCCATGTAAAACCAAAAAACAAACCAACTTTCCAGAGAAATGGTTCCTCCTTCGCCCCCTAAATGTGGAATTTCCTTCTCCCACATGGCCCTGGCCTCAGAGCCAGGTTCAGCAACAGCATTTTTAGACTTTAAAAGTATCCCAGCTTTAACTGCCTGCATCGGCCAGGCCGGCTGGATGCAGAAACTTCCCAGCAGATCCTGAGCTATACCAGTGGTGGGAGCCAGATAAGCACCTAGATAGACCAACCAAGCACCTGCTTTTAGGTCCTAGAGGGCCTGCGATATGGACTTTAAAGTCAGGACATTCTTAGATGCAGACAAGCTATTTTAGGTAATTTGTTGCAGTTTTTGGGGTGCCGGGACTTGGGGCACCAGGCTTCATCTGTGGGGTCACGTGGCCCCCCCTGAAATAGCTCGTGTTCCCCCCTAGTTGAGAACCACTGATCTAGGCCATCCCAGACAGGTGTTTGTCTAACTTGCTGTTAAAAGCCTCCAATGATAGAGATTCCACAAGGTAATTTGTTTCAGTGCTTAACCAACTATTTAGCTTAAATAGCTCTTCACCCTCCCTAGTATTTACAGACAGTACTCATAGTCCCTTTCAGTCTTCTTTTTGCCAGGCTATAAAAGCCAAGCTTTTTCAGTCCCTTCTCATAAGATAGGTCCTCCATTCTCCGATCATCCTAGTAGCTCTTCTCTGCACCTGTGGCAGTTTGAATTAGTCTTTCTTGAACGTGGGTGCACAGCATTCCAAATGAGGTCTTACCAGTGCCTTATACAATGGCATTAATACTGCCCTGTCTCTACTGGAAATGCCTCACCTGGTACATCCTAGGATCGCATTGGTCTTTTTTTGCACCTGCATCGCATTAGTGGCTCATAGTCAACCTGTGATCAACCCCTATACCCAGGTCTTTCTTCTCCTCTATCACTTCCACTGATGAGCCCCTAGTTTATATCAGAAATTCTTATTAGCCCCTAACTTTGCACTTTGTACTATTGAATTTCATCCCGTTTCTGTTACTCAAGTCTTCAATGTCATCCTGATCTTCCTGTCTCATATTCCGATCCTCGCTGTGTTGACAAGGCCTCCCAACTGTATCAGCAAATTCCATTAGCACACTTCTAATTATTAGTTTATTAGAAAGAAAATAGCCCCCGGCCCCTTCTCAGCATGGTCAGAGGTTTCCTTTGGCAAACCATCCAAAATTTCAGGTGCACGTTTTGAACCTAACCCTCCTGAGTCCACAAATCTGGAGAGCTCGCACGATGAGAACGCTCTCGTGAGATTTTATACATTTCCTTAGTCTAGACTGGCCGTGCTTGAATTCATTCTCATCACAGCCTCAGAATGAAGAGGTGAGAAACAACAACAAAAGTTCTCCTCCATTTTTTTTTTTAAATGGAGGCCGTTGGGATTCAAGTTTAGTGTAGCTGTTCCGGGTGCTGATGTTGTTTCTTATCAATTCTTCTTATACCTGACCCAGCGCGTCTTTTTATAGCCTGACGTCTTGGTAATTTGGTAATTAGCAATGATGGGAAAGGAAATGCAGAACAGCTTATACAACAGTTTAATGAGGTTTTGGTAACATGTTTTTTCAAGCTTTTATGACATGCTACCTTTCAAAGCGTGGAAGGAACAGCCAGTGACAATTAAAAGGCATAATTCACACAGCGCGTCACTCCTGATAAACAAGCCATGAGTTCTGTGTCGGAGACATACAAGTTTTGTGGAGCTTGGTGGAAGCTGGGCGGTGGAGAAATAAGAAGGGTTTTTATTCATTAAACAACAAATGCTTCGTATGTCAATCGACTGGGACGATTTAACCTCTTTGGAGGACAGATTTTCTTTGTCTTTTTTAGTTACATTTTACGAATGCCTGGGCAAAGTAAGGCAGGTTGGATTTGTGGCCTGAGTGCAGGGCTGGGATCCAGGAACATCTCAATCCGAATTGTAGCTGGGCCACTGATTTAGGACAACTATTTTCCAAACTGACCACTGGTTTTGGGTGCTCACGTTGAGATTCATTATGCCTGATTGTCCAAGTAGCTGAGTGCCTGTAGACCAGATTCTGGGAGATATGGACACACGGAGCTTCTGGAAATGGTTCAAGCGGCGCATCCAAAATCGTAGGTGTGGAAAATCAGCAGCCACTTTGGCAAATCACCTAACCTCTTTGCAGCTCAGTTTCTGTACAACATTATATTCACTTGGCTACCTCCAGCCAGGAGCAAGGACTGATTCATGCTTGCCCAGCACTTCGAACATATCAAGTGCTACTAATGTAACGTGCTAAACTGTGGCCCCACCCCCTTATGCTGCCCCTACCCCCCTGGGTCCCCACCCTCACGTTGCCCCTTCCATAGAGGCCCCGCCTTCGCACCACCCCTTCCCTCAAGGCCCTGCCCTCACACTGCCCCTTCCCCCTGAGGCCCCACCCTTGTGCCACCCATCCCCCCAAGACACCGCCCTCTTTCAGCCTCTTTCTCCCGAGGCCCCGCCCTCACACTGCCCCTTCCCCCGGAGGCCCCACCCTTGCACCACCCTTTCCCCCAAGACCCTGCCCTCTTGCAGCCTCTTTCTCCTGAGGCCCCACCCTCATGCTGCCCCAACCTCCCAAGCCCCCGCCCTCGCGCCGCCCATTCCCCCCAAACCCTGCCCTCACGCCGCCACTTCTCCCCAAGACCGGCCCCCCGCTCCTCTCCACCCCCTCCCCCTGTCACTCGCATTTACGGCCAGTAAAGAGTGGGAGGGCATAGCCCCTGCGCAGAGCCGTTCCTGAGCTGCAGCCATTGGTTTCTGGATCTATCATCAGCTGAGAGGGTGACGTGTTCCCTTCCATTGAGGATGTGGCTCAGGGGGGCTGGTTTTCACCCCGTACGCCTCAAGCAGTAGTGCTGCATGGGAGATGTGCAGACAGGTGACACGGTGTATTTAGGGCGTGGGGCAGAGGTGAGGCGAGTGGAATACCCCAGCGTTTAGAATATGGGACTAATTCCCCCTCTCTGTATGTATTTCCTGCAGCAGCGAGCCCTCCTTGCTGGAAGAAGTTATACTTCTGGTTCTGCGGGATCTCCAGCAGCCCAGGACCCACACTGACCAAGGAAGAGAAAGCAGTCCTGGAAAGGAAACTCACCAGCATTGTGGAAAAGCCCCTATCAAAGACTCTTTGCAACATTAATGCTATAATCCTGCTAGCTATTAACGTCTTTCTGTGGGGTTACTTTGGCTGAAGACGGGGCTGCAGACAGTCCTCGGCTGGCTTGGCTTTGATTTAGAATATCGCAGTAATGCTTAGAGACGTCAAGCAGGTCAGGGCCACATTGTTCTAGGGGCCGTGCATACAGTAAATGGAATTCCCTGCCCCAGAGAGTTCACAATCTAGAAGACCAAACCTAGCAGGCAGGGATATTGTATTTACCAGAGAGGGTTTTTATCAGGTAAAATCATGGTTTTTTGTCACCTAGGGAAAAATTAGTTGGGCCCAGTTTATGATATTTTCTATTTTTAAAATTGTTTTATTATCACACACATCACACTTAGTCGTAGTTACATATTCAAATTGCATGACAGAGTCAAATCAGGCACTAGATTAGGAGATTAATGTAGGGTTGTACAAATAAACAAGTACAATTGCAGTGAGCGTAATACTAATATATGTAATTCTAATAGGGTCAGAATGTCTGTAAACAACTTAGTTTGGTATTTTCTCCAGGAAGTTATACAGGCCATGACGCCTTTCAGTTTTCAACATTGTATAACCCAAAGTCAAAAACATTCAGTGACTGTAACGCAGAGTTGTAGCCATGAAGCATTAAGCAATCCGAAGCATGCTGCGCTGTGGACAACCTGAACCTATTTCTCAGTTTTGAATGGATGTATCCAAAGTCTGAAAAGATTCATGCTATGCTTGCTGAACTTGCTGGACACTGATGGACTTCCACCACCAGTTCTGTGAAGTCAGAGGGAATCTCGGCCATTTTCAGATTTTTTCCACCATGTGAAAATGGAAACTTTTTCCTTGATAGCGGATGAAAAACGTCAATTTTGGTTCCAGTGCATCTTCTGTGTTAAATGCAAGTAAATATGTCAGTAAGTCGGGATTTTTGCTCAGCAGCGACTGCTTGCAATTTCTTCTTGTTCCAATGACACATTTCTTGCCTGCGTATTTTGGATGAAGGAGGTCGGCCAACATTTGTAATTGCCTCATGAAATCTCTTCGGTACGTCTGCTTTATGTGGGGCAAGATCTTCATTTATCAGTAAATCCAACCGTCCGTCTCATGCACCATGAGTCCTTTTGAGATTATGTCAAGTGCCACAGAAACTGAATTGAATCGACTGATCAAGTTATTTGCTTCTCGGTAAATCCTTTGATTATTAATTACACTGACCACTCTATCTTTAAATTCTGCCTCTTGATCACTCGTAATCCTGAGATAATGTGGCCAATTTTTGAACATCTGTTTCCAGGCATGTAGTTTGACTGTTCCATTGCGTGTTACCAGGGATTTGGGGGGGTTACAGAACTTGACAGGCTTTTAACCAGGCTCCAGGTGATTACGAAAATACTTTTGTAAATCGACCACACGTTTCATCAAAGCACTCGGTGTAAGGGCTTGTCCAACTAGATTGAGCCAATGTGATGCACATCCCTACGCAGCCAAAGTGTGGTTATCGTGTGCCAAATCGCTGCCCATACTTGGCATTTTTTTCTCATTGTCTGCCGAGTAGCGCTTAACACAACCATGCCGTTCATTGCTAATGCCTTGGCTTCTCTTGTCAGTGTAGCACAATCCTTTCCAGTCTTCTTATTGCTTCTAGTATCAACTGCTGATACAGAAACCACAGTCAGCTCTCAGTGGGACAATGTGCATGTTACGCCAGCCATCTTGTATTCATGGAACTGCGTTTCCATATCATTTGTTGTGTGCCTCCACCTTTAAGCCATCAGTAACTGCATCTAACCGTTTACCTGCTTTCGACTGGGTGCTTTGTAGCCTGGCCTTAAGCAGCTGATCAGTGCTTGAAAAAATTGGATGTTCAGTAACTGAAAAGGGAATATTACAGCCATAAAACAGTTCTGCAGTTTTCAGGGCTACCTTTTGTTTCAGTTCTGGCGGTTTTTTGTTTGTGCCAAACATAGGCATGTATGATTGAAAAACCATGACACTTCCTCCTCATTGTCTTTGGCTGATGTGGAGCTGCCTTTCTCTTGCTGCTCTTGGCAATGGCAATGCAGTATTATCAGTACCTTCTGTGGTTAGATGTTGATAGATGTTTGGCTGTGTGTGTGTGTGTGGTCCCTCTGCGTGCCGCCCCAGCCCTGCGCAGACAACTGGTACAGCAGACCTTGAGCGAAGCGCCCAATGACCACAAGATCCGTTAAGGGATGAAGGCACCCAGCCAGGTTTATTGTCAATGAAGCACAGTACTAGTATCCCGCGGACTCTACTAGACCACTAATACATGTATGCCTGTAACAATGGACCAGCTCAGTGAATGGTGGGCCTTTCCATTCCTGTGCCAGACAAAAATATGCCCTCTGAGATACATCTTTATACCCTGATACAAACAAGTTATATACTGCCCTTCTGACATAGTTAGTTACTGCCCCCGACATGGCAGTTTTTACCCATTACCTTGTACATGTTGGTTCAATCAAAACATCTCTATTACATACTGTCATCCTGACCTTATCTTTTGGGAGGGGTCAGTGTGTGCTTGTTATCCTTGGGGAATGTTTTTGTACCATCCTTGATATCGGGATGTTCTGGTACCACTTGATATCGGGATGTGTTTGCATGAGTACGCTGTGACTAGCACTTCTTAGGAATGTGTATTTCTACATGATCAGCCCTGTTCTTGCCCGATTCTGAGAGCAGGTCCTGCCTCATACCAGGCCTTATGTCTCAGGCTCTCTTCCTACAACACTTTCATCCTCAGAGTCTGATTCGAATACTCATCTATATTGTTGGGGCAATGAATGTGTCAGGCCTGATGTGAGTTACAGTATGGGAGGCCCTCAGCCAGCTGGTATCCGGGGAGGAGGGTCACCCTCTTGTCTGGGGCTGCGTCGTTATTTAATTACCAACACGTCCTATTGGAAATAATGGTGCTTTAAAAATTAAGAGGGTTTTTAGAATGTCTGTTTCCTGCTGCTGTCAGCACTGGGCTGGTGAATGAAGCGACTTATCCAGCCTCACAGCTAACCCCACTGCAACCAGTGTGATGTAACCAGACTCAGGGCCAGATCCTCAGCCAGACAGTCTCCTGGGCTGCCATGCTTCTCACAGACGGGTGGGCTAGGGCCTGGGCCTTTCATATTAAAATGAGCATATTTAGCTGCAGTGGGTGAGCTAGTGTGCAATGCTTGCTCTGTGGAATGGGCACGTAGGGGCTTTGGGCACCTGCGCAGGCAGAATTCCCACTGGGGAATCAGGACCAGCCGCTCTGGGACTCATCTAGCATTGTGATGGCCTCCTAGCATCTGAGTGCCAGGGCTCTCTGTGTTACGGCAGTGAGGGCCAGGGACGCTGCCACTGGTGCCAATAAGCCCGTGCCATCCCACTCAGTCTTAGTAGGAGCTGGATGGGACATGCCATGCTTACAAGTGTCAGCATTGCCGTGCAATGGTGTGTTTTCTTTTCCTATCTTATCTGGTTTCTATAGGGCTGGTACATAGAGTACTGGCCCTAGCATGAGCTCCGACAAAGGCAAGGTCACATGGCCGTGATTCAGATATGACCACATAAGGCGTCAACGATGAACGGAGAAAGACTTGTGCAATTTAAGAGAGCGTGTGACAGGTTTGTAAAAGGCAGTTCCCAAGCACGTCTTTCACCGGTGTCAGGATTATTAGGCGGGAATAAATACAATGGGGAAGCAATAGAGCGTCTCAGACTCACCACCAGCCCCGGTGACATTCCGACAGGGAGGAGTTCGGCCTCTCAGAACATTGTATGTCCAAGAAAGTAGAGATGCTTTTGTGCTGTGACAGATGAAGACATACGAGCGCTTACACTTCTGGGGCAGACATTGGTGGGAGCTTTTTGTGCTCTACACGTCGGGGCTAGCACACAGGACAGCGGGTTTGCGAATACTGAGAGCTGAGCTACTTTTACCTAGGTGCCGGTAGCTCAGCTGGTGCAAATTGATAAAGCTCCTCTACCATCAAAGGCGCTATGTGGATTTACACCAGTCATGGATCGGGCCCAAGCAGTTGTGGTTTTTCAGAATGGGGCCCGGCTGAAGCCTGTGGGTGCTTCAGAAACACTTTAACAGAGAACGGCTCCAGGTTAGAGACTAATACAATTGGACCTTTGTATGTAACATGTTCAGGTGGCATAGGAAAGGGGGAATGGCGAAAAAGGAGAGATGAAAAAGACACACAGATCCACTCAAGAATGGGTAAAGCTGTTATCTTCCATGCCAGCATTTCTCACAGAATAACTTGTCTGCATTGCAAGGCCTCGTACATCCTTGTTGCTCAGCGCCTGTGATAAATGGCAATAGCCTGACAAGACTGCATTGCATTCAGAATTGTAATTGATATACAAGTCCATTGGCAGCAGACATTATTAATGATGCCAATGCGTATTTTCTTATTTATCGTCCCGCCTAGGCTTGTGTCTATCAGCAAATGATTATCATTCATTTTCCTGACAAATCTAGCAAGATCATTCATGATTGTTCAGCAAAGGAGCGTCTTTTAAACAAAGATTAATGACTTGGCGGTTTGGCTGGCTGGCTGAGCAAAAGGAAATGAAATTAACAATGAACCCTACAAACATGTCACCACTTTAATTTACCAGAAAATATTTTAAAATGGTATTTAAAAATGTACGCTATGATAGGCACATTTTTTTTTTTTTATAAAAAAAGGAAACTCCATAAATTTTAAGGGGCTGGACAGCAAGTTAGCAAACATGGAGCCATCTTTACTGTAGTTCTTTGCCTAGATTTTCTAAGAGAAAGCAAGATCTCCTCAGATGGGTCTCCCCTCAAGTCAAGATTGTCTACACGGACAATCTTACGAACAACCTTGGGATGAACTCTGGCAAGGGGGTGACAAATGAGGATCAAAAAAGCATTTAACGAAGCCAACCAGAGCCAATACTGAGCTCAAAGCCCGTTGCCTCACTCGGGTGCCACAAAGGAGCCAGTATCCGGCTGTAAGTGGCCATCAGAAAATTCCCTGGCCTAGAGGAACAGCATGCTGGCGTGAAGCCGGT